TCATGCTCTCATAGAAGTCTTCTTAGAAAAAACAGGATCCTTTTCCTCACAAGAATTGTTGAAATCATCTTTTAGATAATAAAATAATTTTAAAAATAAATAAAGACTCTTTGGAGCATTTTTTTTTTCTTTTTATAAAACGAAGGTCCAAATAGCCAGTAATTGCTTTTAGCTTGGCTGCTAGGAAATCCAGTTACATAAATCTAATGTTTACCTAAAGCACTAACTTCATCCAAGTGGTCTGATAATATCAACTTCTCTGATCTTTTCAATCAAGGTTTATGTCCTTTTATGTCAAGTCAACTTGACACAAGCTAGAGTCATCTGAGAGGAGAGAGCCTCAGTTGAGAAAATGCCTCCGTAAGATCCAGCTGTAGGGCATTTTCTTAATTAGTGATTGATGGGAGAGGGCCCAGCCCATTGTGGGTGGTGCCATCCCTGGATTGGTGTGGTCCTGGGTTCTATAAGCAAGTAGGTTGAGCAAGTCATGGGGAACAAGCCAGTAAGCAGCTCCCTCCATGGCCTCTGCATCAGCTCCTGCCTCCAGGTACCTGTCTTGTTTGAGTTCCTGTCCTGACTTCCTTCGATGATGAACAGAGATGTGGAAGAGTAAGCCAAATAAACCCTTTCCTCCCCAAGTTGCTTTTGGTTGTGGTGTTTCATCACAGCAATAGTAATTCTAACTAGGACAATTTTTTTTTTCCATTTTCATTCTTAGTTGCTTTTTTTGGTATTATATAATTTTTTTTGGTAAGCTGCCGGAGCATTCTTGCACTTTTATACTATCTATGGCACACTGAGTTATTTATGTATTTGTCTGTTTTCTTTTCCTAGTTTCGTAACATGAGCTGCTCAGTGAAGGGCCCGGCAGATAGAATTGAACTGGGTATGATCAGAAGAGACCTACAGATTATTGTTGCCTTTCCTTTGTTTGGAAAAGACCCGCTTTTCCTGGGGGTGACCCTGGGGATGACCCTGGGGCCTGGTGACCTCAGCCATCACTTCTGGATGGGTTGGACTGGCAAGGATCCCAACTTTTAACCCTTTCTGGCTTGACCAAGTTCCACAGAAGTGCCATGAGCAGGGAACCTACCTCTTCTGCAGGCCTTTTCTTTGGGGGGCTGTGGGGCATGGAAATGAATCTCCATTGGGATAATGAAGAGCTCCATTGGGGGTTCATTGGCCTTAAATCGGCTCCTCAGGGGGTTGAGGACTCTGGGGGGTTCTTCTGAAACAGGAGGTAATTTCAGAGCCTTTGGTGCCTGGAGAGAGTATAAACACAAACCAACATGGCAGAAATGAAAACTCTGCTGCCTGCAGAGGGCAAATGATACCCTATCTTACTGCATTTCTTGTTCAAATAGCTGCTAGGAGAAGCAAAGGTCATCGCCTGGGAGCTGGTGCTGGTGGCTCTGGTGTGTGTGTGTGTGTGGGGGGGTGTTTTGCTTTGATATCTCCAGGGAGCTCCGAGTATGTCCTTCCTGCCTGAGTCTTCTGCGTTTTATCAACAGGATACATTTGAGAACCTTTGAGAGAGCCAGGCATGGCGGTCCACACCTGTAACCCCAGCGCTTGGGAAGTGGAGGCAGGAGGGTCAGGAGTTCATGGTCATCCACAGTGAAACAGCAAATTCCAAGTCAGCCTGGGCTACATGAGATCCTGCCCCAAAGTCCCCTCTCGCTACCTTCAAAGCCTTTGAGAGAATAGTAATCTCTGTTGTGACTGGGGAGAATGATAAGGATGGCAGTGACTGCCTGGGGTTTCTGTGTCCTGATAAATGAGGAATCTCCGAGTCCGTCGTTAAGAGAACAAGCAAAGGGAACAAGAGCGGAGGTTGTTCCACCTCAGGCGAGAAGTGAGACGGGCTGGTCATCTGTGCCTGTTTCCCATTGCCAACTTTTTTTGTGTTTTGTTTTGTTGTGTTTTGTTTTTCCGAGACAGGGTTTCTCTGTGTAGCCCTGGCTGTCCTGGAACTCACTCTGTAGACCAGGCTGGCCTCCAGTTCACAGAGATCTGCCTGCCTGAGTGCTGGGATTAAAGGTGTGCACCACCACTACCCGACTCCGTTTGGTAGTTTCTTTTTTTTTTTAAACATTAGGGGAAATTTTTTTGTTATTGTTTTTACATCCCAATCAAAGTTTCCCCTCCCCCCTCTCCTCCCAGCCCTTCCCAAGCCAACTCCACCCCCCACCCCGACTTCTCCTCCTCTGTTTCTCTTTGGAAAAGGCAGGCCACTCGTGGATCTCAGTCAGCCATGGTATATCAAGCTGCAGTGAGACTAGGCTCCTCCTCTTCTATGAAGGATGAGGCAATCCAGTAGGAGGAATGGGTCCCCAAAGCAGGCAACAGAGTCAGAGACAGCCCCTGCTCCCCACTGTTAGGAGTCTCAGGAGAGGACCAAGCTACACAGTTGTAACATATGTGCAGAGGATTTAGATCAGTCCCATGCAGGCCCCTGGTTCTCCGTTCAGTCTCTGTGAGCCCGCCCCTATGAGCCCGGGTTAGTCGGTTCTGTGGGTTTTCTGGTGGTGCCCTTGACCCCACTGGCTCCCACAATCCTTCCTCTCCCTCTTCCTCAGGATTCCCCAAGTTCCCTTTAGTAACTTCTAAGCCTCAATTTCTTCCTTAAAATAAGAGTGGTCATACTACCCATGCTGCAGAGTTGGGAGATAAAAATGAATTAATATATGTAGTCACAGTAGTGTTTCGAATATGGATTGTTTTTATGACTTGCATGGTGTGTGTGTGTGTGTACACACGCGTGCGTGCTTGCACGTGCTATGTCTGGATGTATGGTGTATCTTTAGTGTGTGGTGTGTGTGTTATGTATGAATGTATGATGTGTCTGAGGTGGGTGTGTATGTGTTTGTGTATGGTATATCTGCATGCATGGTGTGTCTGTATCTGTGGTAGTGTGTGTGTGTGTGTGTGTGTGTGTGTGTGTTTGTGTGTGGTGTGTGGTATGTATGTATGTATGTATGATGTTTCTGAGGTGTGTGGTATGTCTGCATGCATGGTGTGTGTGTCTGTGGTAGTGTGTGTGTGTTGTGTGTGTATGTGTGTGTGTGTATGTCTGTGGTAGTGTGTGTGTGTGTGTATGTCTGTGGTAGTGTGTGTGTCTGTGGTAGTATGTGTGTGTGTGTGTGTGTGTGTGTCTGTGTGTTGATGAGGGTGGATCTTGGGTGCACGTTAGACAAGCACTTTGCTATTGAGTTGCCTCCCCAGCCTCTATTTTTTGAGACAAGGTTTCACTGTGTAATCCAGGCTGGCTTTGAACTCATAACTCTCCCACCTTTGCCTCATGAGTGCTGAGATTACAGGCATGCCCCACTGCTCTTGGAATGTAAGATATTTGTTGGAGAATAGATTTCTTCCTGTAAGCATTTAATAGCCAGTTTGGCCCCTAGCAGAAAAATCTCAGCTCCTGACCACGTTGTCACATGAACACAACACACAACACTGTGTCAGCTTCAACAACTCATTTGGCCTGGTTTCTCCTTCCTATCATCACACACACACACACACACACACACACACACGCACACGCACACGCACACGCACACGCACACATGCACACATGCACACGTGCACACACACAGTAGTGTGTATATGTGTGTGTGTGTGTGTGTGTGTGTGTGTGTGTGTGTGAGATACTGTAGGGTAATACTTGGGGTCTCCAATTTTCAGTCATTCAGAAACTGCAGAGCACTTTACGTTTTGTTTGTGACATCTGGCATATGAATTTAGTGCCCTGAGAAGTGTAGGTATGAGCTTTCAGAGAGTTTGATTCAGAGGAAGAAAAATAAAAAAGATTTTCTGTTTTTTCCCCAGTGCTTAAAAGAAAAAAAAAATAATCAGGAATCAGAAACACACATAAGCATCCTACATGCTTGGGTCTGATTGAGGAAGGAAAAATGTACCCTACTTATGCAAAGTAATATTTATAATTTTGAAACATGAAGAAAATGATTAGCCAAACACACGCACATAAGATCTCTGTTCCTGGGGACCCGCCCTCTGCAGGTGTTGCCCACCAACGGCCCTGCTTTGAATACGGACCTTGTGGGTTCTCTTTGACAAGGGTCGCATTGAGAAAGCTGTGTGGGAACTCACTTCTTGCGTGAGGGGTGGCTGACAAGCCAAGCCTTAATTTCTTTATTCTAATTAGAAATTGACACAGGGTTTTAATAACACAGTGGAAAATATTGCTTTCCTGTGTTAAACGAATGCATGGGATTCAAAGAAGGCGTCCCTTTCCTCTGCGCCTGGCTCGGGTCGGGACTGCCTGGACGTGAGAGCTCAGGCCTGTGTTGATCCTGTGGGGATGCCGGAGTTCAGGTCTGCTCTGTAGTCCTGGCCCAAAGGAGCCTGGGAAGGCAGCTTGGACTCAGGACCACCCAGACAGTCCTGAAGAAAAATGAAAACAACATCGATTCCTGGTACCAGCGATGCCTGGTCGGTCTGTGGTCCTTCAGAGCCGTTTCAGATGGCAGAGGCTTGCCCATATTCACACAGCGGCTGTCGGGCGGAACGTTTTGGGGTTTCTTCTACATGCCTTGTCTATCATGGATGCTTCCCAAACGCCAAAGTGCCACATAGAATTGTGAGGCAGGGTCAGGCTAGAAATGGCCAGAGTCATTTTTTTAAATGATTTATTTATTTTTGTGCGCTGGTGTTTACCTTCATATATGTCTGTGTGAGGGTGTCAGATTTAAACTGGATTTAAAGATGGTTGTGAGCGAGCTGCCATGTGGATACTGGGGATTGAACCTTGGTCCTCTGGAAGAGCAGCCAGTGCTTTTTGTTTTTTGTTTTTTTTTTTTGAGACAGGGTTTCTCTGTGTAGCTTTGGAGCCTGTCCCAGATCTTGCTCTGTAGCCCAGGCTAGCCTCAAACTCACAGAGATCCGCCTGCCTCTGCCTCCCAAGTGCTGGGATTAAAGGCATGTGTCACCACCGCCACCCGGCTCAGGCAGTGCTCTTAACTGCTGAGCTACCATTCCAGCCCCTGGCCAGAGTCATCTTAAGGAAGAAGGTGTTCTTCACTTCTAAAATTTTATCACATTTATTTATTTATTTGTGTATTTATTTACTTAATGTAAGAACGGGTGCCTCCTACTGTGTGCATGTGGATGTCAGAGGACAATTAGTGGGAGTTAGCATTGTAATTCTACCACCTAAGCCCAGGAATTGAGTCAGGTCTTCAGGCTTGGTGCCAAGAACCTCTGAAGCTGCACCATCACGCTGGCCCTGTTTTTGACTTTTTTAAAAAAAAAAAAAAAAAGATTTATTTATTTCCGGGCTGTGGTGACACACACCTTTAATCCCAGCACTCAGGAGGCAGAGCCAGGCGGATCTCTGTGGGTTTGAGGCCAGCCTGGGCTACAGAGCGAGATCCAGGACAGCCAGAGCTACACACAGAAACCCTGTCTTGAAAAACAAACAAACAAACAAAAACACAAAAATGAAAAAAAAAAAAAAAAAACAGTGTTCTCTGTCTAGAGATCTGCTATCAGATCTCATTACAGATGGCTATGAGCCACCATGTGGCTGCTGGGAATTGAACTCAGGACCTCTGGAAGAGCAGTCAATGCTTTTAACCTCTGAGCCATCTCTCCACCCCTGTTCTGAGGTTCTGAAAGGAGTCCATAAACTTGCCGAACCACCCTACATTTGCAAAGCTGACGGAAGCTCAGCTGAGTGAACACTGCTAGAGTCGGTGTCCCCGGCGTTTTTAACTGGTAGGGACCCAGCTGCTCACAGGCCCACGATCTGCTCTTCCATCTGTAGAGCGGCCCCTGTCTCCTAACAGGACCAAGTGTTCTGCTCTGAGGAATGATGGGGGCTGCTGAAACTCCACGATTTCCAACAGCCAATTGCTCCAACACCTCATTCCAACTCCACCTCATGAGCTCAGAGACGTCCCTCTGAGTCACTTAGTTTCTAGAATGGGATTAAACACACATACAGACGCCACACACAGACACACAGATGCACACACACATATGCACACACACACATGCACATGCACAGACATATATATGCATACACACAGATGCCACACACAGACACATGCACACATATAGACCCACACAGACACCAAACACAGATATACACATATGCATACACACATGCACATACACTTGCACATGAACATGCACACAGACACACATATGCACATATATTTGCACATACAGACACATGCACACACATGCATACACAGACACACACATGCACATATATTTGCACATACAGACACACACACACAGACACACATATGCACATATATTTGCACATATAGACACACGCGCACACATGCGCATATATTTGCACATACAGACACACGCGCACACGTGCACACACACTCCCTACCTCCTTTTTCTTTGTTTCTCCAAACGTCCTTTGTTCTGAGCCCGTGGCAGATGCTATTGGAGGGAAAAGGCCTCTTTCAGCAGGAGGCTCCTGTGATAAGCAGCCGCCTCTGGCCTTGTGGGGTTTCGTGTTCCCTCGTTTATCTGTGGAAACAGGTAGGAATGAAAAGTTGTCAGTTGCAGGTATGGGGTGAACTGCTGAGTTTTAAGTCCTGTTACGTTTTTCTTTCTTTTCTTAGAAATTTGTGTGTGTGTGTGTGTGTGTGTGTGTGTGTGTGTGTGTGTGTGTGTGATGATACATGCTACATGCCTGCAGAGGCCAGAGGGTATCAGATCCCTTGGAGCTAATTTACAGGCAGTTGAGACAGCTGTGAACCATCCAACGTGGGTGCTGGGAACTGAACTGGGGTCCTCCGGAGGAACAGCAAGTGCTTTTAACCACTGAGCCACCTCCCTAGCCCTCTATTTTTTTTTTTTTGAACGGTGCCCCAGCTTCCTGAGTGCTGCGATTGCAAGTATATAGCACCACCCCCTAACCTGAGTGCCTCTCTGTGTGTGGAATGAATATATAATCAAATGCGTAGACGTGAATAGAAAATAGAAGTCTTATGCAAATCCGGCTGATGAGAAGAAAATCGGGGTGGGGGGTGGGGGGGTGGGTGGGGGCGTGTGGGAGACTGAGACGGCCAATGGCTCTGTCCCGGCAGACAGGGGAGCCTCAGTCTCCCAATCTGGTCTCCTGCTGGCTGAGTCGGGTGGTGGTGAGGATAACAGCAATAATAACACAAGTGTATTGAGAAGTAAACCCAGAAGGAAATATGCACCGTGTTTTACATGCGCTAACCCACGCGATCCCCGTGGCAGTCTCAGAGCTGTGTTGGCCTCACTCCACACGGTGGGAAACGGCCTCAGCAAAATTAAACAAGCCTGAGATCATAACTGGTAAGTGGGGGATAACTCGAACTCGGCCCTTGAATGACAGAATTCAGTGCGGTTAGGCACTAGGCAAAGAGGAGCTGGTCAGAGTCTCCTCCCCACGCCAACTGGCCTCTGCCTGCCACTTTCCACGGTCCGCGGCAGGAAGAGGGCAAGCCTGTGTTCTCAAGTGAACTCTGCAGGAGGTGCGCTCAGATCAGCAGAGACCTCAGGCTTCTTGCACTGAGACCTGCTTTTCTACCTGGGAAGGCACCGCCGGAGAACGTGTAGAGGGAGTTGTCACGAGGAAGCTGAAGGTGACCGAGGCGGGCACACCCAAGGGCCCGCCTGGAGGCTTGCTGAGGCTCTGCATTGTGACTCTCCTCTGAAGCGTGGGCACGGAGGTGGCTCTCTGCCGATGTGTCCTAGGGAACGACAGACACACAGTCTTGTGACCACGAGGGGACACATCTGCACGATGAAGACAAACAGGGTCCCAGCGGCATGACCTCCAACGCTGTTTATTGCCACGAAACATGGAACTATGGACCGAAGAGGGGATGCCATGCCGCTGTGGCTGGCACACAGCGCTTTACAGAAAGAAAACAACAAGTCAGGATGAAGGGCTTAAATCGTGGTCTTTGCACCATAAAATCTCTCCCCGCTTCTGTAGTGTGGCTCTTCTCCATGTTTCCGCTCTCCTTGACACGTGACCTCATAAAGTCAAACAAGACTATTCAAGATAGAAACAGATACTGTCTCTGTTGCTCTGTGCAACTAACACACACCACACACACATCTCTCTCTCACACACCCATGTCCCCACACTACAGACACACACACACCACACACACACACACCTCTCTCACACCCCTATAACCCCACTACAGATACACACTTACACCATATACTTCTCTCACACCCCCACTCCCACACACCACAGACACACACACACCACACACATCTCTCTCTCACACATCCATGTCTCCACATTACACACACACACACACACACACACACACACACAGTGCCTTAGGGTTTAGAAAGCACTTCTGCATTTTAACTCACAACTCCGTCCTGTAGAGGAGTTCACTCAGGAGGCTGGAGGTTAAGTTCTTAGTCTACTACAACTAGTAAGAAACACAGACCCGTGGTGGAGCACGCCTTAAATCCCAGCACTCGTGAGGCAGAGCCAGGCAGATCTCTGTGAGTTCGAGGCCAGCCTGGTCTACAGAGTGAGTTCCAGGACAGGCTCCAAAGCTACACAGGGAAACCCTGTCTTGGGGGAGGAAAAAAAAAAAAAAGAAACATAGACCAAGTCTATAATTCTTGCTAGACAGACCTAGATGGGTGGGGAGTCAGAGACTCTATTTCAGCAACATGGGAAGCCAGGATTTGGACAGAGTGAGACTGGCCACTTAACCCCAGGATCTCTAAAAGCACTCCCTGTCCAAAGTGTACTGTGACTTCCCAGGTGAGGGATGTGTGGGCAGCATCTCCCAGGGGTGTTTGCCTGCAGAAGACCCCTTTAAAAGGAGCATCTGGCAACGCCAGGGTTCCTTGGTGACAGTTTAGGAAATTGTATTCAGAATCAAAGTTCTCTGGAGAGTCTCAAGAAATGGTGAAGGGAGGGAGACGCCCCCCTGCAGTCAAGAGGAACAGAACCGGTACCTCGGCTGGGGTTTCGTCTTCCTGCCGCGGCTGCTTCCTGAGTGGCGTCATGTGAGTCCACCGATGGCTGTGGCTCTGGTCCACGTATGCACGAGTCCCATTTCCCCCTTCATCCAGGCCCTGTTGGTCTGCAAAGGTCACAGTGTGGGTCAGCTGGAAACCTCAGACCCATCACGGTGCCTCTGTGGAAATGGCGCCCTGTTGGTAGACACGGGGCTGCCCTGGGTGTCAGGAGAGCGTGAGTGGAAGCTTTGCTTCTCAGACACCGTTTCCTCATTTGTAAACCGGGGATCCTAATGTCTTGCCCTCGCTTCCTTATAGTGGCTGGGCCTCAAACCAGATAAGGACAGTGACCATTTCTGCGTGAAGTGCAAGGGATCCTGGGTGGTGGCGTGGCGGTGTGGCCTGACCTGCAGCCCTGACCTGTCACTGTGATGCTGAACTGGAAACCTGACCTTGGGGTTTGTGGGTGTGTCCCGGGGGTTTGCTTGGGCTTCCCTCTGTCCAATGCGGGGAGGCAGGGCTGCTGCCCTGCTCTGGATTCACCCTGTCGGCAGGGCGGGTCTGAGTCAACAGATGACTGAGGCAGAGTTAGCAAATCTTTCAGCGGTGGTTTAAAGGGTCCTCCAGCTATTTTCATCAGCTGCTCGAGGTAGATTTATTGCTGACAGAGTCTGGCAAGCCTTCCTTGTTTGGAGCCAAGCTGTACCAATACCTCTGCTCCCAGCACGCAGCTCCGTGGAACAATATGGGGCTTTCTTTCAACCATGGGCACTGGAAACCTTCGAGTGGCCCGTGTGAGATGGAGAACTGGGCGGCTGGCTGGGAGCTCCTGGGCTTCCTCACAGCCAGCCTCACCTGCCTTCATCATTCTCATCCTTGGGGTCACTGGCTCCAGCATCAAAAGCCTGGGGTTGGGGGACATCTCTCCCTGATCCGCTTCCTCTGCCTGAAGGGTACTCTGGTTTGAAGTGGTCTTGGGAATACTGATGGATAAGACACAAGCTCAGGTTTAAGTTCAGAAGTCTCCCTGGGTTTTATGGCTCAGGGAACTTAATGGAGAGCCCAGGGCCACGTTGGCTTGTTCACAAGAGGACCTTAACTCCATACCGAGTAGATAGCGCTAAAGACCTTTTGAGGAATTCTAGAATGATCTTTGGATGCTAAGCCAGAAATTGCAGATCCATCCTTCCTGGTCAGATTCATTTAGAGCTAGATATACTTCTGGGGGCAGAGGAAGTGAAACTCCAGCCAGACGGGCACTCACTCAGCAGCTGTGCACATCAAATGCGTGAGGTGGGTAGAGAGAGGGTATGCACAGGTCACTTCTCTTGGGCCGTATCACAATGAGATCGAATATGTGACTCACTCTACGTGAGAGCAACAGTTCTCAGTACATGGCATCAGTAGTTTATGCTCAAGAGAACCAGGCTTGCAAGAAGAGCACTGGACATCGTTGAAAGGAGACCAGAGCTATGTCCCTTTGTACATTAAACATGGGCTCCAACCATCCCAATCACGTGCTTCAGGCTAGCAATTTAGAATTGTTGGCAAGCTTTTACCCCACCCTCCCCTACGATTTTTCTTTTCTTTCCGTTCTACACACATTCTATCTTTCTCTCTCTCTCTCTCTCTCTCTCTCTCTCTCTCTCTCTCTCTCTCTCTCTGTATGTATGTGTATCTGTCTGGGCATAGAGAGGATACCAAGAATCTTCTTTTACTCCTTTCTCTCTCTCTCTCTCTCTCTCTCTCTCTCTCTCTCTCTCTCTCTCTCTCTCTCTCCTTTGAGATAGGATATCTCTACACAGCCCTGAATGCCCTAGAGCTAACTGGCTATGCAGACCAGGCTGACCTTGAACTCACAGAGATCCTCCTGCCTCTGCCTCCTCGGCACTGGGATCAAAGGCGCGCACTGTAATGCCTGGCCCCCTCTCTCTCACTCTTCATCTTGGTTTTTGAACGGGTCCCTCACTGACCCTGAAGCAGACCATCTTAGCTGGACTGACAGGTCAGCAAGCACTGGGGTTTTACTGGCCTCCACTCCTAAATACTGGAGTTCCAGGTGCTCATGGCCCTACGTAGCCTTTAGATGGGTCTGGGGATTTGAATTCAGGTCCTTTTGCTGACACAGCAAGTGGTCTCACTCGCTGAGCCATCTCCCCAGCCCTCCGGTAATTTTTTCACAGAAGCCCACAGGGGAAGGAATACAGACACCATTGCTCCCATTTTACAGATGAGCAAACTGAGGCACCAGGGGACATAGGTTGGCTTATTGTTGGGGCTCTGAGCTTTACAGCCAGGGCTTTTCCTACGTCTTCAGAAAAAGAGGAAAAAAAAAAGATAAACAGAGTGAAGCTAGGGAAAAATGAAGTTAAAACCAAGAAAACAGTGGGATCCAAGTTTCAGCCTCTGAACACCACATACTTCTTTAAAATTGACTTTTTTTGCCCCTGTGATCACAGGCAATTGGACATTGCAATTAGTAATTATGTTGGAAAAAAAATCTAGGGCGGTCTGTAATTAACATTTATTGAGCACTTACTATGTGCTGGGGACTGCACTTTCCCCTTGAACTCCTACATGCCGGCTGATGAAGTGTACTGGTGTGTGGCCACTCAGTTTTATAAATGAGGACACTGAGGCCCGCAGAGGTCGTATGGCTTAGAATCTTGTGCTATCACCACCGACTGCTTCTGCCTGGTGGCGACAGCTCCTTGGTAAACGGTGTCAGTGAAGTCACAGACCCACAGTTGTGAAGTCTTGATACCCGTCCCCAGGGAAAGCGCTGCAATTCACCGCCCACTTTATTGGGTCCCAGAGCATCCAAATCCCAGGCTATCAACTGGAGATGAGGGGGGCGGGGTCTGTGAAGAGAGACAGGGCACTGATGTGACAGCTGTCCATCCAGGGAAGGGCAGAAGGGCAGGAGTCCCGACGTGGAGACACATTACCTAGGTGGGCTCTAGTCCCCCAGGACATGGATTGTCCAGAAACGTGATTTCTTCAATGTTCCAAAATCAAGTGGTTTAAGGAATTTCAACCCACGTTGACAAAGCACATAGGACTTGCGGTATAAGTGGGTAATGAGAAAGACAATCACCGGACCAGTATGTTTTATAGAGACAAATCACACGTGGACCAGGTTCTGACCAGAGTCCCGTGGCACCAGGGTCAAGAAAACGGCACAGTTGGAGCACTGGATGGCATCAGCCTCTGAGGACCTGTCATGCTCCACACTTCCTCTACTCATCCGACGAGATTCTGTTCCCAAGGAGAGCTTGTTCTGACGTCACCATTGATTCTGGAAACTTTTGGATGTCAGGAAAATACCTGTACGTGATGCTGGGCTCCTGCGTTTTTCTCAAGAGTTCTGTTCCCATCCATCTTTTCCTATCTCTTACCAAAGGCAACTCACAGCTCTGAATGACACATGTTCCCAAGAAAAAACATCAGTTAAAGACGGATCATGGTAATTTTCTGTGTAGTACTGAGTAGTCCTAATGTGCCCATTGCACAGATGAGCAAATGGACCATCAGTGGCTAATCGACTTGCTCAAGATCTTCCATCTCATAAATCAAAGGAGAGCCGTGCAAAACAGATTCATGGCTCCAAAGTTTATATATTTGTCACAAAAATCACAGGATTAAAGAATGTTAGATGGAGGCCTATGTCTGTAACCCCAGCATTTAGAAGGCCGAGGCAGGGCAATTGTGAGTTTTAGGTTAGCCTGGGCTACATAGTGAGACCCTGTCTAAACCCGACTAACAAACCCAAAAGAACAAACTTCAGAAATCTGAACACTAAAGTCTAGACCTATGTTGTTCAGTACAGTAACCGCTAGCCACATACAGCTATTTGTAGGTCAATGAATCAAAATTAAATGAAACACTCAGTTTCATAGTCGCGATAGCTACATTTCATGTGCTCACTAGACATATGTGATTAATGGCCATTCTGCTGGGTAGCCCACGGGCCGCACTTTCCAGACTGACCCCTTCATCTTACAGACGAAGGCGATGGAACCAGAACCCCTAGGTCTTTTTCCGCAAAACTTTTTTAAACTGTCAAAACATCCAAACATCTGTGAACTGGTCACACCATCAACAGGTACAGGTCCGGGAGACAGCTCAGCAGTTCAAGTGTGAGCCTTGCATCAGGACCGGAGTTCGGATTCCCAGAACTCACTTACATGCTGGGTGGGCATGGCAGGCTGCTTAAAGTTCCAGCCTCAGGGGTCAGAGACAGGGGATCCCCAAGGCAAGCTGGTTAGCAAGACTATCCTATCAATGAGCTTTGGGTTTGATTGAGAAACCTGCCTCCATGGATAAGGTGGAAGAACATTGTAGAATGATTCTGGCATCACCCTCAGGCCTCAGCACGCATCCACACACGTGTAGACAAGCACACCCACCCACCCACGTGTGCCCACACACAATCAAATATACATATATACGTGCACATCTCCCAACACACACACACACACACACACACACACACACACACACACACACACACACACGCACGCGCGCATGAGAAATGGAAAAAAAAATAGTGAGCTGGTACCTTGTTCATAAGATGGTCTCTGTTGAATCCAAAAGGAAGGGAAGACAGGCAGGAGATGGTATTTGGGGGGAACACCCGAAAGATCCTGGTGTGGCCTGAGATTCTTGGGCACCCCAAGCTGACTGTCCTGGAGCAGCACAGAATCCTTGATGTGTCCTGAGGGGCAGGTCAGGAGTTACTGACGGGAAGTATAATAACCAATCCTGAGTTCTGGAGGAAACTACAGGTTCCCCACTTTGAACAGACATTAAAGAGGACAATTAGAAGATGAGCAGGATTGGAAACCTCAGATGGAATGCATGAAGCTTCCCTGTCAAGTGCCTTGGGTGCTTCTGGTTCTGGGCCACATGAGCACTCTGTACCACACTGACATTCCCAAGAACTAGGTCCTTGTTGGGAAAAAACCAAACCAAACCATGGCTGCTTCCTAGGTGTCGACTAGGAGGCTTACTCTGCTCCAGAGAGAGATTAATCACAGTGGGTATGTCTTACTCTGTTCTGTCTGCCCATGATCATCAGTCTAATGTAGCCATTCTGCAGTATTTCCTGAAGTTTCACCAAGCACCCACCGTCTGCTAGGCTGCAGGGCAGACACAGAGGAACTAGGCACACATTTCTCACAGCCAGTTGGAGAGATGGAGCTCTCTGGACTCAACTCTGTAGCTCTGAGTATCATCAGTGTGATGTGAGGCCAGATGCTGACTATTGGCTGGGATTGTTAGAAGAGCCTTTGTAGGAGATCGGGGCTTAGATATGCAGTCTAGATGAAAAGTATTTGTATATGCTTGTTTACATAAATGTGTGTGTGTGTGCACGTGCATGTAGGTTATGAAACTTTTTTTTTTTTTTTTGAGCTGAGGATTGAACCCAGGGCCTTGTGCTTGCTAGGCAAGCGCTCTACCACTGAGCTAAATCCCAAACCCCCCCTTTAAAATTTTTTTTTAATTTAATGTACATTGATGTTTTGTCTGCAGGTATGTCTGTGTGAGGGTGTCAGATCTTAGACTTACAGACAGTTGTTAGCTGCCATGTAGGTGCTGGGAATTGAACCCGGGTCCTCTGAAAGAGCAGTTAGTGCTCTTAACCACTGAGCCATCTCTCCAGCCCCTAGGTTATGAAACTTTAAAGGGCATCATGAGAGGGCAGGAAAAGAATCTTGAGGGAGGTGGAAGATACAGAGGGCAATGAAGTAAGGCAGAAGAGGCGCTAACCGTGAAGAAAGACGGCCGAGGAGCAGGCGGATGGGAGAAGGAAAGAGGACACACTCTAATGACCTGTGTGTGAGGGTGCCCTGATAAAACCTAGGACTTTGTATACTAACATAAACATTAATTTAAGCAACTTTTAAAGCTGGGCATGGTGGTTCGTGCCTTTAATCCCAGCACTCGAACTGAAGCAGGAGGATGTCTATGAGTTTGAGGCCAGACATCTGTACATCGATTTCCAGGCCAGCCAGGGATACATGGTAAGACCTTGTCTCAAAAGAAAAAGAAAACCAAAAACCAAAACCAAAACACCAAAACGTACATTTAGAAAGGACTCGAAAGAAAAGAAACAGTCTTGGAAGGTGGGGTCGATTCCTCACAGGGGCAGGCAGAAGACACTCAAGAATTCACTCACGTCACAAGGTGAGTGAGTTCCGAAAGGTGAGGGGGAAGAGAACGATGGAGCTGTGGGGACACTGGCCTCTCACTGAAGCCTCCCCATTTGCTCCCCCAGCTTGGGGACCTATTTTGAAGAGGCACTTTATCAGGGGGCTATGGTAAGGGCCCGGCAAATACAAGGTCCCTGCACCTTTTCTTAGACCATGCATGCTAGCTAGATGACGCCATGAACAGAGCTGAGATTTTTTTTTTTTTTTTTTTTTTGGTTTTTCAAGACAGGGTTTCTCTGTGTAGCTTTGCGCCTTTCCTGGAACTTGCTTTGGAGACCAGACTGGCCTCGAACTCACAGAGATCCGCCTACCTCTGCCTCCTGAGTGCTGGGATTAAAGCCGTGCGCCACCACCGCTCGGCTGATCTTTTGTTTTTTAAAAGCTGCCCGCTTTCTGGAGGACACTGAGCCCAGACTGTGGGACAGCAGCCTGCCCTGCCTTGGCCTCATCCAGTGACAACCGCTTTTTGGTTGAGAAGCTCTTTCTCACAAGTGGTAAAGTAAACAGACCTGCCTGTGACCATGGGCCTGCCTTGAAAGTAAAGTCAACTGCCAGACAAGGCCACATCTCTCATTTTGTTTCAAGCCACCACTTACTGGGGGCCCGGAACTGTTTTCTCTCCCTTCCCAGGTAAACCTATAAAACAAGAAGCGAGCCAGAATTTTCTGGTCCCGTGTGCTGGTGCCGGAGAAACGGCAAACAACTGAAGTGAGGTCTGGCACATCTTCCCACCCATCTCTCATCCCCCGCGGTCTGCCAAGTAAAATACAGGATGTCCAATTAAGTTTAAGTTTCAGACAAACAATGAACTCTTTTTAGTAGAAATATGTCCCAAATATTGTGAGTTTCACTGTTTGTGTGGGTGTAGTGAGCTGAATCTGGCAACTCGAATTCCCACTTCAGGCTTTCCTAAGTCTGCAGAGTGCATTTGGGGTTTCTGTCAGGCGGAGGGGTGTTCATCTCTCTCTCCTGAGGGGATTGTGCCGGAGAGTTGCCTTCTTGAGATGACCTGAGATGACCTCGGACAGGGAACTTGGGAATGCTGGGAAGAATGTGGAGCTGTGGGTGCAGGAAGTATCTGCCTTCTGGGTCCAGCTCTGCTTCTGGTTGGCTGACTATGGACAAATAAATAACTTTTCCGTCTTTAGACCTTCCTTTTTGTCTTGTCTTGTGGACAGTGGGGTGTAAGTTGGAAGATCTCTGAGGCCTCAGGTGTGGGATAGGTTGGGAAGCAAGTTCTGGGATGTGAGGGGCTGAGGTTGAGCAGTGGGCGCCGAGCCAAGAACTCAGGTGGCCCTTTTTTCTGCAAACGTCAGTGAAGATAAAAGCTGGGCTAGAGGAGGCTTGTGGACTACGAAGCTTAGTGCAGAACTGGACCTTAAATCCTGATGTTTCTGGCATTCAATGGGAAACACCCCTTCCCATCAGAGGTGGGGGAGACTGGCGTTCCCTCCCTCCCATCTTCCCACTGACCTGCACACTGGAGCCTGTACACTGTAGCAGGGGACCATGTCCACAAAAGGCCTCGGAGGTATCTCTTGGCCGAATACCCAGGCTGGATCTGCCGTTGGGTCTGGCTCTTTGACTTGCTTCGGAAGTAGAGGTAAGGTTGCCAGGCTCTGTCCTGCTCCCTCTGTGGGGACACCAATCAGGAAATAGCACAGCGGCTGAGCCCCGGGTCTCCTGTTGATACAGGCTGGTTAGCCCAATCCTCACCAGCAATCCAGAGACTCCCAGAAAGGGCCAGAAGGCACCAATAACAGATGGCCTGGCCTAATAAACACCATCCAAGAGCCCAGCAGGCAAAGCCCTGAAAGGCCCCCGAGGATGCCAGTCAGAGGGGAAGAAGAAATGACAGATGCCAGACCCCATCTTGGTATAAAGCACTAGGAAAGAGTAAAGCCTCAGGAGAATTACCTCAGCCGTGGAAATCATGTCAGTCCCTTCAAAACGGCCCCAATGCAGGGAAAAGCAGTGCACAGTGGCCTTAGTTAGCATTCAATGCTTTTCATGTAAAAACAGACAGACAGAGCCAGTCCGTGTTCTCAGGGAGCCTGGCATTTTGAAAATATTTGACGGTGCTGCGTTTCACTTCAGCTAGGGAGAATTTTTTTCTGGGACTTTCCTCCCAAATTCAGCCACTCTGTGCAAGGCACATGGGGAATAAATAGACATCCAATGCTTGACCAGGGATTTATATTGTATGGGAAGCCTTTACCTCATTGTAATCCTATAAGGTGGACAGAGTTCAAATGATGCGGAAATGCTGAGGATGATTCGTTAAGCCCGTGAATACCCAGGTGGTAGTGGCACACACCTTTAATTCTAGAGCTCGGGAGGCAGAGGCAAGCTGGCCTTTGTGAGTTCGAGACCAGCCCCATCTATAGAGCGAGTTCCAGGATAGGCTACACAGAGAATAAATTTCCCACACGAGAACTTTGGTTATATTTAAACCACAACAGAGTGTGGAAGGCTCAACCAGTTGCCCATGGAGTCAGACTCAGAACTCAGAGCTTGAAATTTCTCGTCAGCCCAAAGCCTCCTGTTCCCCCAAGAACGTTTAATCTCATCAGTGGAGCAGGACTTAGCTCCAGGCACCATCTCGCTAACTGGAGAACAAATGATGGTTTGAAGCAGGCGCTTCATCACATGTCCCGGAGAGTAAGAGCTGTGAGACTAGAGAGTCCCACACGCTCGCGCTTGTCAGAACTCAGTAAGACCCGACTCAATGGTCCACGCCACGAGGAGGAAAGTATGTTAGCGCACATATCAAAAGGACCAAAGTTTGGAGAGTAATGGGGCCGGTGAAATCAGAGGTTCCATGTCTCCCGAGTCCCACAGGCAGCAAGGCCCTTTGTACCTCTGAGAAGTCTTTCACTTCAGTCTTACAGACACGCTGAGCCCGGACAATGGACGTGGCAGACATGAAGAGGTCCAGAATGCCCAGCAGCATCGGATGGGAGCTTAAGAGAAAGCCTGGGACCGTCTGCACCTGGATTTCTGGTCAGGGTGTCAGCATCCAAGGCCCATTCTGCCTCAGGACTTTATGACCACGGGCAAGTCTTCGAGCCTCCTGAACCCCCAAAGTGCAGCTCACCTCATGTTAGGAGTGGGAAGTTCGGGATATTTTAGAGTCACACGGCCTAAGAGATTTAGATTTTACAAATCCAGAAAGACATCCTTTGGGAATTAGTAACTAAGTGAGCACACAATTCTACCCCATGCTCCACCGCTTCTCGGTCCCCTAAGTTACACAACCTCATCAACAAGATGCACGCACACCCTTCCTGTCTCTTAGGGCCCACGGTCCAGACTGCAGATGGAACCTGGTGCCTCCCACATGCTAGGCAAGTGCTCTACTACCAACCAGCATCCCTAGCGTCCCCCACGGCCCCTTTTCATCCTGGGAATTCATTAAGCTGCACAGGCAGGCTTTGAACTTGGGACCTTCTTGCCTCAAGCTTCTGAGTAAAGCGGGATTTCAGACCTATGCTACCAGGCTCATGTATGTATACATGTACACACACACACACACACACACACACACACACACACACACATACACATTTTTTTCCTGCCCCCACCAAGCAGGTTCTGGGGGACTGAACCCACTGGCTGAGTCCTTTTGGCAGCCCTCTCCAGGTACTGTAAAGGAAATCCTATGAGATGTGCCTTCCTGAGCCCGGTTCTGGCAAGGTGGGGGTTGGCTTCCTGTCGGGCCTCCTGGGCTCCTTCCAGCCTGCCCTGCACGCGTGAACACGCTCGGCTCTCCTAGCTCTGAGTGGGAATGAGGAGAGTGCGCGGAAGGAGACGGCAGAGCGGCTTGGCGAGCCTTTCCTGCTGAGCATGTGTCCTTAGGCAAATTAATTACTTCCCAACTAATTGTGTTCAGTGTCCTCAGCGGAGAGGGTAACGAGCTGAGGTGTATAATGTAGTCTAGACTTCTTTCTGGTAGGTGGACAACAATGTTAGCCTTTCTTTCTTCGCCTTGCCCGGGGTGTGGGGAACTACGGAAAATTGTGAAATGCTTCTTCCTCTTGTTGCTGCTTACTAACAGACTCCCAATCCATTTTGATTTTTTTTTTTTTTGTTAACTGAATCTCTTTCCCCAAATCCCTTGTATTTTGAAGTGACCGCATGACCCAGCTCTGGACAAAGAGACGGAACAGCAAGCTCTTGAGAGCTTCTGGGAAATCTTGTCTTCCTTAAAGAAGGGATAGATACATCGGACTGGTGTGCTGGCCACCTCCTTTTTGCTTTGAGCGGAGGGGTGATCTCTGGATTCGTGGGGGCCACCAGACAGGAGACCTCTTCTAGGAGATCTGGATTCTCACTTCCTCTCTGCAAACCTTTGCTTCAGCTGACTGCTCCCTGAGTGTCCACGTCTCGGCCTCTTCTGAGGCGCCGTAGCCTCTGTTAACACAGATGGGGTGACTGTGTGAGTCTGGACAAGGACCCCGTTGCCACCCTTGTTAGGGAGCATTTCTAATGCTTCAGTGGGAGCTCGGCTGGGCTGCTTGCTTAAGGTGCAAGGAGTTGCCAAGACAAGCCAGGGAAGGCCTTGCCTTGGAGTTTGGACTACTTGCATATTGTTTGGCTTAGCCTTTGAAAGCTGATCGTGGCCGCGGTATTAGTTTCCTATGGCTGCTATAACAACTCACACACAATTAGTGACTTAGCTAACACAAATGTATTATCTTACACTTCTAGCAGTTAGAAGTTTGAAAATGGGTCTCAGTGAACCAATAACATCAAGGTGTGGCCAGGCCTGTGGTTTCTGTTGGAGATCCCAGGAAAGAACTGTTTCCCTGAATCCTTTTCTCGCTTCTAAAGGGCCCAGCATTCCTTGGCTTGTGTCCCCTCCTCCAAGCCAGCAATGTTGGATGGGGTCCTTCTTATGGTATGGTCTCTCTGGTTCTCCCTTCTGAGTCCTTATATCTAAAAAAATCCTATCTGGGCGGATAGTGGTGGCACACACCTTTAATCCCAGCACTCAGGAGGCAGAGGTAGGTTGGCCTCTGTGAGTTCAAGGCCAGCCTGGTCTACAGAGCGAGTTCCAGGACAGCCAAGGCTACACAGAGAAACCCTGTCTCAGAAAAAAAAAAATCCTCATAATTCCATCAGGGGCCCTGCCACACACACACACACACACACACAAATCCAAAATAATTTCCCATTTTAAGCCTAGCAAACTGAGCACAGTACTGTAATCCTAGTGTGCAGAAGGCAGGGGCAGGAAGACTGTGGATTTCAGAGCAGCCTGAACTATATGATGGGACCCCGTCTCAAGACAAAACAAAAACAAAACAAACAAAACATGAGGGCCAGGGGTGTAACGCAGCGGTAGAGACTTGACGAACACGTACCAGACCCTGGGTTCAGTGGAACCAGAGCAAACCAAACTCCATCCAGTCAGCAGCCCCAACTCCACCTGCAACTTCCACCCCTCCCCCTTGTCTTCTAATGTAACCTATTAACAGGCTGTAGGGATTAGGAAAAAGACATCCTGGGTTGGGGTGAGTGTGTGTGTGTGTGTGTGTGTGTGTGTGTGTGTGTGTGTTCGTGTGTGCGTGCGTGCATGCTCACGTATAGTTTTTCTGCCAACTCCAGTTTCTTTAAGCTCTTACTTAGATTCTCTTGGTAGTCTCTTGAGTGACACCTGTGAAACTAGTTAACAAAGCCACCTCACTGGACGAACAGAGGCATTCAGGGAAGACCAGGATCACCGAGGAAGCCGGCTGGGGTGAGAGCTTTTCCAATATGCATAACATGAGCAGAAACAAGGCAAAATACAGAGGAATGAGTAATCACAACCTCTTTTTTTTTTCAAGACAGTGTTTCTCTCTGTAGTTTTAGTGCCTGTCCTGGATCTTACTCTGTAGCCCAGGCTGGCCTCGAACTCACAGAGATCCGCCTGCCTCTGCCTCCCGAGTGCTGGGATTAAAGGCGTGCGCCACTGCGGCCCGGCAATCACAACCTCTTAAAAGTGCATCTTACTAATGTATAATGATGGGGGAAAGGCTCAGAGAAAAATATTAAAATGCTAGAAATTGCAACATTAGGCTACTGAACACAAGAACACATGTCATTCTTCTTTATATAAAATCAAATGTCTAGCAATATGGTTAGATTATCTTTACAAAGAGGAAGAGTTAAGCTAACTAACGTTATTGAGCCTACTCTCTTCCATATTTTCCGAGCCTTCTTTCCCCAAGAGCATCCTACTCGTAACCACCCACTCAGAAATTACTTGAAAACAGAGAGGGAGACAGAAGGGAGCCTGGGAGGGAGTTTCTGGAAGAGGGAAATAAACATGACAGCGGGAGCCTGGCTGCGGTGGGTTCAGACTGCTCAGCTTTGCCAGTCTACCCTCTGCTGGCTTCTTTGGAGACAAGTAATTAGTATGCGCAGAGAGGCCTGTTAGCCACTCCACCTTTAATGAGAGGCTTGCTCTGACAGGCTGCCTTTTCCATGTCTACCAGGCCTATGAAGACAGGGCTGGAGGGGACTCCCGGGCCCCTGTGCCTAGCCTTGCATCTGTACTGCCGTCTACTTATGCCAGGAGAGAAGGAGGCTGTGGTTAGGGCTGGTATGCCTGCTCCGGGTGGCAGGGCACCAGGAAGACCAGAATGT